TCCTTCAAATCGTGGAAAAAATTTGGCAGTTTTATCTTCTGGTGCTGAAGAAAGTGAATGCTTAATTTTTAAAACTTCATCCCCTACTTTATAAGTTACTCCCCGTCGTTTCAAATCATAATAGAGCTTCTTTTTTCTTTGTGCTACTTCCGTATTCTTTTTTGCTTCTTTTATTAGTTTTTCTATATCACCCATTTTAAATTCTGGGGCTCTTTGTTGCACATAAAATAATTTATCTAACGGCGTTATAATCTTTCTGCCTAGAAATAACTCAGCAGGAGTTTTGCCCGTTGTATCATGTTTTGCGGTCCTAAGGGCGAAAGCAAATTCATTGACATAGTTATCCCAGCTTTTATGAAAATTTTTAACATAACTACGGATAATTTTCACTATATTTCTATTGACCCGTTCCGCTATATTTGATTGCGGCCGATACGGGACCATTTTTAAATGACGTATGCCCAGTTTTTGGCACATGTCTTCAAATATATTACTTACAAATTGAGGACCATTATCCGATATAACTTTTAGGGGCGCCCCGTATTTTAAAATATATTTATTTAAAATAGAATCAGTAACTAATTTCGCGGAGGCTCGTTTTAAGGGAACAATTTCGGTCCATTTACTAAAATGATCAACCATAACAAGGAGATAGCGACTTTTATTTAACTGACTTTTTGGGAAAGGGCCCAATAAATCGATGCCAATTATTTCATTTGGAAATTCGGATTTAATACTATTTAGAAACCCGGCCGGGCGGAAATTAATATAATTAACTGCTTGACATGTTGGGCAGGACTGGACATACGCCCTTGTTAACTTTTGCAGTTCAGGAAAGTAGACTGCCTCGCGTACGCGTTGGATAGTTTTTCGAATACCAGCATGAGAAGCTAAAGGGCTGTCATGGAGCTCCTGCAGGATATTTAATCTAAGACTAGCTGGGATAACAGGTCGAAATTCGTTGTTGGAATTCGTAGTTTTTGTATAGAAATAATAGACCATCTATTAGTTCGTAATGGGCCGCCCTATTTCTTATCGCCACAATATCTTGGTGGCTAAAATTTTCAGGATCCTTCAAATACTCATAAATACTTCCAAACTCAGGATCCTTACCCAGTTCGGTTATTACAGTTTCTCGGGAATTTATTGCTGTAAGCATTGCCACCTTTACGGTATTACCTTGTTCGTCTATTTTAATTCTTGATAGGGCATCTGCTACGATATTTTCCTTTCCGGGGGTATGCTTGATTACCAGATTATATTCTTGCAGCTTGAGTGCCCATCTTATTAACCTTGGGGATAAATTTTTCCCTGAGTACAATCTAGTTACCGCCGCATGATCAGAGTACACTGTTATCGGCGCCTTTCCAAAATAGACTCGGAACTTTTGCACTGCTAACAGAACTGCAAGTGCCTCTCTCTCGGTCGCGGAATAGTTTCTTTGTGTTTGATTTAAAGTTCGGCTAAAAAATGCCACGGGCTGCTGATTTTGCGAAAGTACCGCTCCTACCGCATAATCCGAAGCATCCGCTGAAATTTCTAAATTCTCATCCTTTTCAGGAAATTTCAACACACAGGGGCTTGCGTTAATGCTTGTTTTAATTTTTCGAAAGCACTATTGGCTTCGGCCGTCCACGAGAATCTTGCCTTTTTCCTTTTTAATTTTAACAATGGCTCAGCGATAGCCGCAAAATCTTTTATAAAGGACCTATAATATGAACAAAGTCCTAGAAAAGAAGAGAGCTTCTTTGCCGTGTTTGGAGTCGGATACTTTTGTACAGCGATTATTTTTGATTCATCTGTCTCGATCCCTTTTTGAGATATTTTGTAACCTAAATATTTTAATTCAGGGGCTGCAAATTTGCACTTTTCGACATTAACTTTTAGACCGGCCTCATTTAATAAAGAAAACACCTGTCTTAAATCCTGTACATGTTGGTCGAGATTATCACTAGTAATAATGATATCGTCTAAATAGATAAATGTGGACTTTCCAAGAACAGGTCTTAACACAATGTCCATGCATCGCTGAAATGTTGCCGGGGCCCCTGAAAGGCCAAACGGCATACGCAAAAATGCATAAGTGCCAGACTTGGTTATAAAAGCAGTCTTAGGCACGTCCTCAGGCCTAACCCCTATTTGAAAATAACCAGTCGTTAAGTCTAAAGTCGTCATAAATTTGGTTGATTTTATGTTCCTTAAAATTTCTTCTATGAATCGGTAACGGATATACCGGATATTTAGTTATGGAGTTTAATTTACGGTAATCAATAGCGAATCTCCACCTTTTTGGATGCTCCAAAGGATAGTCATTATTTTTCTTACATAAAACCACCGGGCTAGCATAACTACTTGAGATGGGCGTTATGATCTTTTTACGTAGCATATCGGTAATATGCCATTCTATAATTTTTTCCTTATTCTTATCATACCGGTATGGTTTTTGACGAACTGGCATTGCAATCTCCGGTGTCAATACTATGGTTAGTAACCTGAGTAAATCCTGGAATATCACTAAATAACGAAGCAAATTCACTTACCACTTGTCGGATTCTTCCTTGCTCGTCATTAGGCAGGTGGTCAAGATTTAACCATCGGCGGTTCAGCCTTTTCTACACGAACTGGTTTCATTGTCAGCTTAAGGGACGCTTCATTAAAATCCAGTGTTAGCTTGTGCGTCTGAAAGAAAATCTATTCCTAAGATTAAATGTGCTTGCAGATTCTTTACTATAAAAAACATCACCTTTACTTGTTCGTCCTTGATACGGACATATAGCGGTACTTTACCTATACACTTACATTTTTCTCCTTGCGCCGCTAACACTGTCGTATTATCCGCATTATATATGCGGTATTTGCGAAAATACTTCCTAAAAAACTCTTCTGCCACACAGGAACACTGCGCGCCTGTATCCAGGAGTGCGGTGGCTGGGATATTATTCACCAAGACTTCAATCTTCGGAAGAGTCAAATTTTTCACCATTACTGTATTTAACTTGTAGGAAGAGGGGTTTTCGTGGCCTTCGGATTTCCGCACCCTCTCGTCAGCAGAAATCCGTTTTAGTTTAAATTATTTTTCCTTTCCGTGCTTTCCTTCTTTTTCCACTGGCCTTGAGACTTTTTTCCTGGGTTGCTATTGAACTGTCGACGTTCGCCGGCTGTTTTTGAATGCTCGGGTTTCCTTGCCCACTGATTCGCTTTTTCTCCGTAGCCGTGTGCTTGAGTTTGCTGTAGTCTTGGCGTACCAAATTGGTTTCGCTGTTGATATTGGCGTCTTCTTTCGACGTCCGCCGTTCTTCTACATTCAAACTGGATTGCTAGCTCAAATAACTTTTCCAGTGTAGTCGGATTTCTTAATTCAATAAAGTCTTGCACTTGGGGCAGTAACCTCGGCAAAATCACTTGAATTATTTCAGGATCCGAACGGTTTCCATACAAGAGCTTGAAAACGTGAATTTTTTCTTAAAATAAAGCTCGAGAGGTTTTCGATTCTTTGTTGATATATACTGAAAAGTTCCGTTTCTAATTTCGCACGATCCCTTACAACAGGGAAGGCTTTTAGTAGGGCAGCCTTGAAATTTTCGTAAGTATAGGTGGGACTTCCTGCTTGACCCAAGAGACTTCTGCCTATACATTTGAACCAGTTAAGCGCTTGGCCCCTCAAAGCGCTGGTAGCTAAGGTAACTTTTTGAAACTCGTGCACGGGGTAGAGCATGAAGTGGTCATCCAATTTTTCCAAAAAACTGGTTACCGGTGAGTTTCCATTAAATGTTGCTTCTGGTTTCATCGAAGCGCGCATGGTCTGGACGATGTAACCAAATCCTTCCAGGGCGGCAGCTGGCATTTCTGGATTCTGAGCCGTTTCTGCAGGCAGCACAGGTTCTTCTTGAAACTCGGCCATGGTTATTCTTCTTCGTTGGGCGCCACTATCAGGTTCAATGTTCCTTCTTACCTTCTTCGGGAACATACAAGGACCTGACTCGGAACAGAGAGCTTACTAAAGCTATGTTCACTAATTGTGGTAAGTAGACAGGATACAGACGAAGGGTATACAAAACCCTTTATTTTTCTCTATATACAATGAACTTCCGTACTTCGGAATACACTGACCCGCTACTTGGGGTCTAACGTAAAAGTATAAAAATAAAACTAAACTCTAATTTAACTTTAATACACGTGGAAGATTGGCCTTATAATCACAGGAAGCGTATGTAGTACAGAGACTGTGAACACTACAATACGTTTGAATTTATCAAGAGGATTAAAACTTCTGGCCTGGAAGGCAAACAGCAACTGCGTAACTTCTAAGGTAAGCGGCCTGCTGCTTGACTCACTGCTTTCCCTCTCTCGCTTGGCAAAAGGCCACAACTTAAATACTTGGCGTTCGCCAGACAAACTTTGCATAAAAACCTTAACGCTTATAATTCTGGCCGGAAGTAGAAAATAAGAAGTGATAGTAAAGATTTAAAATAAAAATAAACGTTAGTAAAACTTAAGATCCTTACAACCCAAAATTTCTATCTAGGAGACACATGTAAATGACAGTTAGTAATTGAACATAATCCAACGTATTTTCTTCTCTCTCGAAATATATTTTTCAAACACACAACCATGGGACAGTGCACCCTCTAAGCAATCCGGTTTGGTGTTTTTTAAGCCTCTACTGCTGGTTTTCCTAACTTACAGTAAAATTAGATGCTCAGTCTCTGTTTCGGAAGAGAATACAAACAAGGATAGCTTTGAGTACCGATCTTCAGAACTCAAGAGGTCTTCCTTTTCTCAAATCTTCATATGTCCCGCAAAAGAGAAATTACGTAGTTACATTTGACATGTACGATATGCTTGTACTTCTGTCTTTAATATTAACAGAATAACAGTAACATTTCTGAATCTTTATTTTCAAACTTTGCATGATTACTTATGAACAATGAAACTAAATGAAAATATTAATATATTCTTTACAATTTCAGAGTCACTTAATTCATATTTTTTCTCTTTAGAACAGTATCATAAATGTGGAGCCATATATTTCCAAAAATATCCATAAAACTCAGTCACGCCTTAAGAATGGTTTTGAAATGCTCAGTCCCCATGATGATCATCAGATCACGTCCAATAATGACCTGAAAGGAGTATTTGGAGATTTCCATTCTCTGACAGAGGTACCTTCATCTGTAGATTCTCAGTGGCATTCCGAATCAGAGGCACCATTCATGGGCCCATCATCTGTGATACCCGGAGAGAAGAAGAACATGGACAATGAAGAATTTTTTGAACCACAATGGGGGGAACCAGAAGAAGTGGGAATGTTTGGAAGGTTTGTAGATCTTGTTGGCGGTTCTCTTCATCAAACCAGAGTACCAAAAGATTCGGCTGAGAACTGGCCTGAGTTACCATTTGTGATGGAACCTTCATTCCCAACTCAAGGAAATTTACAGGTAATAGTTTATGTTGACTTAATTGAACCAAAGTTAAAAACCAAAGCTGTTTTTATATCCGATCAACTAAGCAATTAGTTCAGTTGTCGAATTCGTACTAAAAATAAATTTAAATCTAATAATGTAATTTAATCTACAGTACATTACGAAACACTTTAGTTCCTTTAACGCGTTCATGAGAGTAAATATCTGATAACGCAATCGCGGTTTTTAAACATCTCGCTTTTCAACAACTTGCTGTTTCTGTTTTTCTTTATTCATAGCAAGAGCCTAGAACTAGACCCCATAGAAAGTTAACGCCACTGGAAAATTACTGTACAGTTCCGTATCCATTTAGAAAACTGCATAATTTTAAAAATCTGATAGCTTTATAGTATCAGAGTGTCTTACTTAAATTATAAATGTAAAATTAATCCATCAATTAGAAGATATCATTTTAGTATAAGATTAAATATTCCTTTTATTGTTACTATTTTACATTTCGTCCAAAATCACTTCATTTTTTATTCTTAAGAAAAACTCATTCGTCCTCCTTTTTTAAATCGCATAAGTGTAAACGTTACAAAATACCATCTACTTAATTATTAAAAAGTCTGGTTAAAATGTGTTTTGATTTCGAAAATGATCGTATAAGATATCTGAGTAGATAATAAAATTAAGATGAATTTATAACTAGAAACGAGCTAGCATAATCTGAAAATGTGTACTTTTTAAAATATATCTAGTAACAAAGCATGAAACTTTGATACGTTTTGCATTTTTCCCCTTTTTTACTTCCTTGTACGAAATAAAAAGAAAGTATTGTAATCGCGAAAAGTTTCAGGCAGCATATTCAACGAAAATATCCATTTTCACCGCTATCGAATGCAATTTAACGATGTTTTTGCGTGATATCTGTACTTAAGGACAGAATAAAAGACTCTTTTGCTCCAAAAAAAAAATTATAAAACTGCTTTAAAATGAATTCTGAAGAGAATTTTTCGTGGCGTCTGTACGAACGTATGTACGTACGTACGTACTTATCCCGCATAACTCAAACACGAGTAGCCTCAGAACCTGAAATTTTGTATATAGGACTGCTATAACATGTAGATGTGCACCTCGTATTTTGGTTGCGATCGGCCGCACCAAACGTATATAAATATATTTATATATATATCCACTCTGTTACCCGGCTCAATGATCTGTCTCTGTACTCTTATATGTTTGTAAATTGTACATTTTTTGCTTTAAAATTATTGAATTATGTTGTTCTTATCTTCCGGTTAAGGTTTTTATGCCTTTAGTAAATCTGTATGCAATATTTTTCGAATTATCGACAATTTTAAAGTTGTTTAAGTGCCTCTAAGCCTAATAATTTTTTTGATGGCGGCCATTGCTTGTTTACATTTGAAACAGCAGAATAGTGGATTTGTTGCCAATCTAAAGAAACTTAGCTTCGCAACAACAAAAATAACGCCTTCATTTATTATTGCGAATTAAATCATGCTTAATCCTTTCCGGAATTTTTTCGAGGAATATGTTTAAAATTTACTTGTAATTTTTAATACAGATATTTTGAGTTTTTATGTATTTTTGCCTTGTCGCGAAGTAAGACCTGAATTAATTGAAAGAGAAATACTCAATCGTCTGTGAAAAACTGTTCTTTTTTGTTTTGTTTGCTTAATTTCTTTTATACATCGTTCTAGCTTTTTTATAGTATTTGAATAGAACATGTGGCAACGATTAGATAATTCTTTAAATGATATAAATTTTGTGCATTCTGAGTTATAATATAACTACGGACCGCGGCACAGGAGCTTCTGTCGCTAGTAATCTCTGAGTTCTAGCACAGCATGTGCACAAGTACTTCCATATTATTGGATACAACTTACTCGATTCCTCAAGCATTTAAAAGTATAATATATTGATAAAGGCCGTTAATGGTCGATTGCCTCTTACTAAATGATAAGACATAGACATAGAGATAGTTCCAATATGAACGAAATATAATACTGCTAAGTGAACCTAGCGCCAGAGTGTCGCTATGGTAAACAAATAGAGTGAATTTTAAAGAATGCATTTATTCTATTGTTGTTTATGCGCTGTCGGCGAAGTAGATATAATTGAATCCAATAAGTTTATTTGAAATGCAAGAAAAAATGCGTATAATTTAATATTCCGTACAAGGAAGTCATGTAGTGTACAAATCAGATTTTTTTTTTTTTTTTCTATCGGAACTGGCAGTATGATAGATCACAATAATGATAAATGTAGTAGCAGTGTAACATAACATTACGCAATTCTAAATTCAAAAGACTATAGATATCTTTTTGGCTTAACAAATATATTATGCAACATTTTTAGAAATAATATTTATTTATAAAAGTCAGAATTACCTAATTATTCCAGAAAAGATCAATCGCATCAGTTTTACTTGACATGCGATTTATAAAGGTGGCAGGCATATTTTTGCAAATACGTTTTGAAAAAAGGTATTTTTTTTTTCTATTTCGTATTTAGTAATAAATTATCTACTAAATATGCTATACGAACATAGAGATCTTATTTACAAATTGATTAAGTTAAACAACTAATTAGAATGAAGGCTTTCAATTTTTATTTGTAGACATCAACTTGGGGAAATAATATTAAAGTCTTCCTCAGTGTGTTTAATCTGCTTGAAGCTTTTGAGATTAAAGGAGCTCCTATATTAAGACTACTGTATAACTCGGCTAGTGATACGCTAACGCCAGATAACGAACTTCTCAGCAATGAACGAGGCAGGTAACAGAACAACAGTTAACGTCGCTACCAAAGCTCTCTATTTAACATTCAAGAATTCTGTACTTATATAGGCGTATCTCATTTATATCCTGGTGAAAGTTAATGGAAAGTAGAATTTATAGTAAAATTCATATCATAAAGTAATCGATTAGTTAAACTAAATACTTTACACAATGAGCATCGACCGTGTTACTCCATGAGTTGAAGTAGCGGGAATCTCGCACAGAAGTTTCTTCTAGTGACCACAGAAAACGGCAAGAAAGCTTATAACTGCTGCAACCAACATGGACCTTCGGAAGAAGTGAGAAGAGATCCATGCCACAGACAAGAAGAGGTCTGTTAATCAAGCTGAGAAAGATCAGCTTTAGAAAACTTCTTGAAATGTGAATCGTTTAAAAAACCAAAAGCAGATATTCAAGGAGGCGAAGAACAAAACAGACTTCCGGTTATGTTACTTTTTCAACAGGTAATGGTCATTGAAATAAACTAATACAAAGTCAATCTAAAACTCAATGCTGATATTTTCGTTTAATTATTCTAACTAATGTTTGTTCCCTCAACTTTACTTCAGGCAGTAACTGATTACATTCCTGTGTGATCCCATCGTACACAATAGTTGTAATCCACCTGGAAGGCTGGTAGTTCGGTCCGAGGTTCGAATCCTGCGAACGGGCTGGCTGCATGGGCGTTTTCGTGGTTTTCCCCATGTGTAGCGTGTATACGAGCCAGTTTCCCTTAGAAAGTCCTCCACGAAGACATCCCTCCCCTTAGCAGATAGCCCTCTTGTGCTTTGCCGTAATTAAATAAACCAAACCACCTGGAAGATTTGCTATTCCTTATAGGGTACTACTTTTATTCAGTCCTTGAATGGCGTGTATAACTGCTAAGCGTTAATTTTTAAGCGACAGTTTCCCAAGTAGCTCACCCTATCGCAGCTAAACTCTCTATTTTTGTCTATTTCCATGTCACATAAAATAATGTTGTCAGCACTTTGGGAAGCATAAACTTTTATATTTTAGGTTTTTACAATCTTTTGAATGGACATTATTAATAACAGGGAAATTTTTGTTTCACTAAAACAAAAAACAACATTTTATATAAGAGTTTCCAAAACAAAGAAATTTCAAAAATTCAGCTGTCGTAAAACCCCTCTTAACCAAAATGCAAACATGTGGTTATTGGGTAAAAACTCAAAACTGCGAGAAACACAGATGGTGAGCTCTAAAAGAAGTTTTTATCGTATTTTATTTAAGTTCTCTATTATTTTATACTGGAAATATTTTGTTGTACTATTACAGATGTGAAAAAAAAAAGAGTTCTCTTTTTCAGATTACCTTAATGTTTTATTGAAAAAAATAATAAATAAGCCTGGAGCGTTTATTTTAAGGTTCTACAAATGATTAACCATGAACTAACCACTATCATATTTACTTTTGTTGATAATCATATGACTTCGTTGATATCACATGACTTTTGTTGGTAGTAAATAGTATTTCAGAAAGACGCTTACGCAAATATAAACTCACAGAAGAACTTTAAATGTAAGTGCAACTCAAGCTGTAAATGAGGTGGTGTATTTAATGATGGCAAAGCACACTAGGGCTCTCTGCCTAAGGGGAGGGATGCCTTTCGTGGAGGACTTTCTAAGGGAAACTGGCTCGTATACACGTTACACATGGGGAAAACCACGAAAACGCCCATGCAGCCAGCCCGTTCGCGGGATTCGAACCTCGGACCGAACTACCAGTGTTCAGCGTCTTTACCGCTCGGCCGCTGGTGGGCTCAGCTGTAAATGAGAGTTCAACTCAAGAAATTTTGTGAAGCACTTTCTTCCCTAGTAATTATTACAACCGAATCAACTTGTAAATCTAGCAAGTTTATTTTGGACAAGGATGTGGTGGTTTTGGAAGTTCTCGTCAAATTCTGTGCCATTTTAGATGTAAGAGATTCCCGTCTATATTTGATTAAGATCTAAGTCTATTGTTTTATGATTAATAGCTTTTGATATTTGTACATCTTCTAAGTACATCATCTAAATTTGGTTGTTAAAAATCTGCTGTTGAAAAGTACCAATCTTTTTAAGTTTTAATTTCCCTTTTTAGTTATGAGTAATTAGTAGTAGTAGATTAGAAATTTGTGGTTTGCGTAAGTCTTATTTTAGTCAAAATCATACCTCGCTGAATTCTGAGGGAATTTATTAAACATTAAGTAAATGGACATTTGAGAAAGATTTAAAGTTAAAATCTGATGTGCTTGTCATCAAACAGTAGCGTAAAATAAACAGAACCTTCTTTCACTGAAAAGAAAAAAAA